CCTCGGAAGGAAGGTTGGGCAATCCTACTTCCGTAGTGATACTGCCTCGGAAACCCAAGGAGGGGTCGCTATGAGTCGGGGCCGACTGGACGGTACATTACAACAACAACAACAACAACAGTCTGACTTTAGGAGCTCTGGTAGCAATAGTGCCTAGGCATTTGACTGCTAACCAGGAGGCTGGCGGTTCAAACCATGTGTTATGTGACTCGACGGCACATAACAACAATCTGACTTTGCCCACTGCAGTTGTGGGTTCTCTAGTCTCCTTGTTAGATATTCATTAGCTTCTAAGGTTTGAGTATTTCTGGTGATGGGACTTCAACCATTGTTGTTACGTGCCGTCTCGACAGCCCCGACTCATAGCGACCCTTCCTTGGGTTTCAACTAAGCACTAGCTTGTAGCCAGCCCCACTCCAGGGCAGTCCACGTCGCTGAACTCTCTACTACCCCCAAAGCGCTTCACACAGTCCCTCAACACTACACTGGCCTCGAAGTGAAATAAAAACACTTACTTTAACCTTCAGAGGCTCCTTTGGCAGAGCAAATATGGCACTTCGGATCTGGCTGCCTCTCTAGGTAGGCTCATCATAAGCAAGATTCGCCAAATCACCCATATTTCAGCCAGACCCACTTAATCAAACTCTTTCACACTCTATTCCTACAGCAGTGAAGCCCTCTCCAGTCTCCCTCAGCCTTTACTCCTTAAATAGGCACTTTTCATGACCACCAAAACAAAAAAAAAATCCCAAACCTACTGCCATCGAATTGCGACTCGCCCTATAGGATTTCCAAGGCTTATTATAAATCTTTACCGAAGCAGATTGCCTCATCTTTCTCCTTTGGATCGGCTGGTGGGTTTGAATTGCCGACCTCTTAGTAGCAGAGAGCTTTAACCACTACGCCACCAAACTCCTTAAACAAAAGCACCTGGTTCCGCAGCGAGCAGGGTACGAACCTGAGTGGGTGAGTAGACCAAATTGGATTTCAAGTCCAACGCCTTAACCATTCGGTTATGACGACCACAGGGCTTCTTGAACATCTGCATTATTGCTCCTACTCTGATCATATAGTCTGAGAATCTACCTATTGAATGAAAGGCCGATTTAGCAGGAAGGTGTAGAAAAGCTATTTTTGATGTGTAAGCGGTCGCAATCGGAGTTGGCCACTTGCCCCTTTCTCCTCCGGTGTCTTCCTGACATCCCATACCAAAAGGCTGACAAGGTTCGCCCGCGACCCTCAAACGGTCCTGGCGCCGGTCGGCAGCCAGGTTTCCCAGCAAGCTCCAGGACAGAAGGGGCGGAGAAAGGAGGTCATCGCGCCTGCGTGGTAGGAGGTGTGACCCGGGTGGGAAAGCCCTCCGCGTCCGCCATTTTGGCTGCCTCTGTCGGTCTGTTCAGTTACCACGTGAACCGCCGACGGAGACCCGTTGGGAGGGGGGAGGCGGCGGCAGCGTTAAGTGAGAAAGGAAAATAGAAGAGGGAAAAGGGGTGTCCGGCCAGGGTGACGCGGCGACACCCAAGGCCTAGGGGCAGCGGCGGATCGGGGTATTCAAGGCTGAAGCAGCCAGGGAACGGCGGCGGCGGCAGCAGTCAGACAAACAGACTGACCCAGCCGGGTGGTGGCGGGAGCAGCGGGAGGAGCCGGAACGATGCCGGCCGTGAGCCTCCCGCCCAAGGAGAACGCGCTCTTCAAGCGGATCTTGGTAAGTGTAAGATTCCAGGCAGTCAGTGGGTAGGATTTAGCCAGTACCTGGGCCTGTCACCCCTAATATTGGCCCGGCGGGCACTGAGCCACCCCCGTCCGGGACCCCGCCTTCATACTTAATGAAACCGAGCGCAGTCCCTCGTTCCCTCCCTCTGGACCCACCTTGGGGCCGCGCGCTGGGGACCACAGGCTTCATCCTGTCGTCTCCACGCTTCGGAGGCCGTGGTTCCGGACTAGGCCCCGTCCTACCGGCTTTTAGAGTGCCAGTTTTCATCAGCTCTGAGCTAAGGGATGTAGCGTTCGGCCTTTGGCTGGGAAGCGGGCAGCACGGACAGGAGTCGTGGCCCGGGTGCTGCTGGAACCCTGCCGCCAGACCGGGGCACCCATAGAAGGAACAGGTGGTGCCGGAGCAGCGCGGCTCATTCATTGCCTAAGCGCGGCTCTCTTTCCATCGTTCGTCGCTCCCTCTTCCCTTGGAATTCACCTGTCTTTGCCTGGTCCGGAGTCTCTGAATGACCTGTGAGGAAAGGAAAGAAGGAGTTCAGTGGAGGAAAGGAAGCTTTCTAAACGATTACCTCCAGTAGTTAGTTGCTCGCTTGAGTCTTCTGCTCCTTGGCCTGTCTTATTCCCTTCTGAAGCAGGAAAAAGGCATTTATTTCTCAGTTTCCGAGCGGGAAACAGCCGCACCCCATCATTCTCCTCTGGAGGTGGGGCCCTTTGCGAGGGGGCGGTCCGGTAGGAATTGAAAAGTTAAGAGTCTTCAGTTAAAGACGCAGACTTTTAGACTAAAGGTAAAACACTGATGCAAAAACTTTGCGTCAGAAAAGAGAATATAAGAATTTTGGGGATGGATCTTGTTGAGGCAAGCTCAGACTCGCTTGTTTCCTACATTTCAAATGTATTTATTTTGCGTGTTTCAAAAACATAAACGCAGGACTGTTTACATTATAAAGTATGGTCTGTAGCTTTGGCCCTATAATTAATATATTGTAGTACGTTTTTTTGTTTGACATTTAGTGTGTGGGTTGCCCCTTTCATGAAAACATTTTTTTAATGAAAGAATTAACTGTGCTTGCCTAACTTAAGCCTTTTAAAATTTGTGTGTATGGTGGTGTTAGCTTTCTCTCTTGTAATTAGAATTTATTTGTTTGGGGAAAAAAAAGAGGAAGTACTTGAAGATTCAGTGTTCCTACAAATAAAAAGTAATCTATGTTTAACTAACTTTGGTATTACAAAAATATCCATATGCCTGGAACATCTAGTTTATGTTGAAAAACTAATTATTTGCAAGTCACATCCAGTGGTATGTAACTCTTGGTTCTTTAAAATCCTTTTTTGTTTTGTTTTGTTTTATAACTAATTGGAGTGTAGGTGGAACTGTAAGATAGTTTTACAAGGTCAGTTTATTTATCTTTAAGCATTTTAAAAGACTAGTTAGTGCGTAGAACCAGTACGTAGTTTTAGAATGGTGATTTATCTTTAATCCCCCCAGACTCTCTATTTTGAAAAAAGAAGAGTGCAAGGCACTATCATAAATCTTTTACCTAATTAAATAGTTAACATTTTGCCTTATATACTTTATCTCCCTATATACTGAAAAAAAAACCCAAACTCACTGCCATTGAGTCGATTCTTTACAGAAGTAGATTGCCCAGTCTTCATCCACAGAGTGGCTGGGGGTTGGTTTGAATTGCCAACCTTCTGGTTAGCAGTCAAATGCCTTAGGCACTATGCCACCAGAGCTCCTTCTCTCCCTATATATAGATATACATTTAAAGGTAAGTTGCAGACACAGTATTTCATCCTAAAGTATTTTAGCAAACATCTAAGAATGACATTCTCTTGTTTAGCCCTATTACCATTAACAATCACTGCCGAATATTGCCTAATAATTCAGTTCATATTTACATTTGCTCATTTGTTAGGGTAGCAATTTTTAAAATCAGACTTTTTAATGAGATAATGGTAGGTTCATGGATAGTTGTGAAAAATAACAAAGATATCTTGTAATCTTTACCAAGTTCCCCCCATATTAATACCTTACAAAGCTTTAGTTCAGTATCACAACATTGATAGTCTTCCAAATCTTATTTGGATTTCCTAAATTTTACTTGTACTAATTTGTGTGTTATGTTTAATTCTATGCTGTGTTATCACATGGCTAGATTCTATATCTGCTACCACACTCAAGATACACAGAACAGTTCCATCAGCCCAAGGATCCCTGTGTTGCCTTTTTAGAACCACAACACCTCCCTTTCCTTTTGCCTCTACCCTCTGGCAACCACTAATCTGTTCTCTATTTCTATCATTTTGTCATTTTAAGAATCTTTAATAAAATGAATCATACAGTATATAACTTTCTGGGGTTGGCCTTTTTTACTTAGCATAATTCCCTTGTGATTCATTGAGGTTGTTGCATGTATCAATAGTTTGCTCCTTTTTATTGCTTATTAGTATTTTCTGATATGGATGTACCACAGTTTGTGTAACTATTCATACCCACTGCCATCGAGTTGGATCTCGACTCACAGCGACCCCTCCTTGGGTTTCTGAATCAATAGCAGTTTTATTAGGCATCTTAAACAATGTAATTGGTTGTGAGGAAGGGTAAAAACTTTAAATTCATTGTTAAAATGAAAGTGCTGAAGAGTTTTATATGGTATGGTGTATGCAAAAGATTAACAAGTTCTGGAAAGTGTGGCAATTACTACATGAAGAAATAGGAATATAATGTCCTCGCTGTTCTCTTATATTAAGAACTAAGAAAGTATAATGAAGTGTGCAAAGACCTGGAGTCTGAACCAAAAAGGAAGAACACGCTCAGCATTTCTCAAACTGAAAGAACTGAAGAAAAAATTTAAGCCTCGAGTTGCAATATTGAGAGATTCTATG